TTTGTCTTTATCAAGTATTAGAGAATCAGAATTTTGCGCATCCTTAGAATTATCACCAGAATCGTTGCCATTAGTAGCCTTTGGATTTTGGATGTCATTGGAATTACTATAGGCAGTAATAGGAACTAATTCGTGTTTAGTAGAACTTGAATCTCGTTTGGTATTAAAATCATCAATGTTAGTATTAGAACTATCATTACTAATAGAATTTGAACCTTGTATATCGTTGAAATTATTATTGTTGACAATAGTAGACCTTGAATTTTGCTTAGAAGCATCATTACCAGGAGTAGAATTTAGATCTGAACTATCTTTAGAATTGCCATTGGCAGTTGGATTTTGGTCTGAATTAGGATTATCATCGTCACTAACAGACTTTGAGTTTTGCTTAGAAAAATCATTTTCGGTAGAATTGGGACTATCATTGGAACTATTGTTACCAATAGTAGAATTTGAATCTTGCTCAGAATTAGAACTATAATTACTAGAACATGAATCTAGCTTAGAATTAGAATTATCGTTTCTAGTATTGTTACTAGTAGTAAAGCTTGAAACTTGCACGAGATTATTGACAATATTGGAATTTTCATTGTTAGTAGCAATAGGATCTAAATCTTTTACAACAATAGGGTCGCTGGTAGTATTCGAAATTTTATCCGAATTACTGTTAACAGAGATCGCAACATCGTCCTTTTGCGGAAATGTATCGTCGATAGAAGATTTTTCATTTTGTTTTTTATTTTTCTTTGTATTTGGTTTATTTTTATTTTTCTTTGTATTTGGTTTATTTTTATTTTTCTTTGTATTTGGTTTATTATTATTTTTTTTTTTGTTATTTTTCGTCATCTTGCCCCTTTATAGATCTGTATCGTTAAAAAAAATAAAAATAAAAATTTAACGTTTGTTTATTTATTGTTTATTTATTTATTGATATTAACAAGATCTGATATTGATCTATGCGGTATGAAAACTCCGAAAGTCCTATAGAAATGGAAATTAGTCTTTTTTCTGATGATTCATCAACTTTGAGAAAGATCTGGTATTATTATGTGATGTGAAAATCCAGAAAGATTCTAAAGAAATGGCATTCCTATTGTAAATTAGTTCTGCAGAAATTGCATCCATATTGTAAGACTTTGGCTGAAATGCATTCCTATTGTAGTTAAAATACGAATCGGGTATTTGATTGGATCAGAAGATTAAAATACGAATCGGGTATTTGATTAGATCAGAAGATTAATCACTCGTCGTTAATATAGTGAAGATGATCGTTTATGCAATTATGTAAATCAGGACAGGACGTTCCTAACGTTCGTTCTACGTAGTTAAGGTACTGTTAACTTCTTTAACTTATTGTCATTGAATTCGAAATGTAAATCATAAGGCTGTGCCAAATCCTCTTTAAATGAAAGTTGAATGCTATTAAAATTAAAGAAAAAGGAATACTGATAACAGTTCTTGAGAAGACACCATTAACTTTGCCAAATCTATAGTTTGTCATCTCTGATTTAATAAACAACCGGACTCTATTTAATTTTTGCGATACGATATTAGTTTTGTCAATGGTTTGCTTTTTTAAAATTTTTAATAATCGCCGAAATGCTTCTGTCAACTATAACCTCTTCAACAATTCGACAGCGTTGATCTGTTTGAACATTAAGTACTTGAAAAAGCTGTTACAAAGCTTGAGAACAACATACATAGTTCTTACCAGCAAAGAAACAATTTACATCCATGGATGCTTGCATATTTGAAATCTTAGAAAAGATAACAGAACGTATATATGGTATATTGTCTCAATTATTAGAAAAATACGAAAAATATTTCAATGCAAAAGTCAACAAAAACAAGTCTGTACTTGTTCCACTGACGTATGAAGCATTGCATATAAAACTGCCAGGACAATAGCATCATAAATTACTTATAGAAGATGATACCAATAAAATATGAGTTTCACCATTACAGCATTAATAGAAGGGACGATTAGTGGTGTGAGCGCAATGCCGTAATTGTTGTAATTGTTTTTACAAAAACTTAATTATATCGTGATCCAATAATCCAAATTGGATGAATTTGATATAATTCGAGTCGTCTCAACGAGATGAATCGGATGGTACCAAAACCATCCAATTCGAATCACTGGATCACAATTTATTTGCAAATAATGATTCAATAAATTACGGCAAATGTGCCGTAATTCTGCCGTAATTTATTAAATAGTTTTTCGAGAATATATTGCGATCCAGTGGTTCGAATTGAATTATTTGGGTACCATTCGATTCGTCACATCGAGACGACTCGAATGATATCAAATTCATCCAATTTGAATTATTGGATCACGATATAATTTAGTTTTTGTAAAAACAATTACGACCAATTACGACATTGCGCTCACACCACTAGGGACGATTCGAAAAGATTTTTGATATAAAAAGCTGAAGATAGTAAAAAAAAAAAAAACTATAACCGAAAAAAAAACTCTCTTCTGAAGATAATATGTGTACTATGCGTATCGCAAAGTCTCATCTTTATCTAAAATTTGGTATACTTCCTATTTCCATATTGGAATGCATTTTACGTTTTATAGACATTTGAGAAAGTTTATAAATAGATATATAGAGTATATAAAGCTTAGATATTTGCTTTTTTCTACTTTACATATCAATATAGTAAATATTAGAGGATAAATCTAGAACATTTCACGTGAGATTCGAGATAACTTTGTGTTGGCTTTAGTGATACATAGTTTTATTTTTTTAAATAAAATTTTTATTTACCATGTTTATATTTAAGCGTTTTTACTACAATTATATTCTTAAGCAATTCAAGTTTGTATTCTTAATAATTTATATTCGTGTTAATTTTGCGTTAAAAATTTATTTAGCATGCAATTAAAAATTATTAATGAGTATTTTTTATTGTTTAATGATTTCATCTCTATTGCAATAACAAATTTACAAATTATTTAGTAACTTGACTATATTGAAACTAGACATGATTATGCAAACGACTTCGCCGCCTAATTTTAATAATTACATTTATCGTCTAGTAATAATTTAGACGTGATGATAAAATTAATAATTTCCATATTTCTAAATTAATTCGAATGTAATGAAACAAGAAATATTACTTTGTAGTAAATGTTTTCCATAAATTTTCGAACAGATTAAAATGCACAACATGTTGGACAAGTATTCGAACGAAAATTTAGCAATGTTGAGTTTTCGATATTATAATGATAAAACTAGAAAACCACCGTTTGGCATTTTCTGATCAAGTATCGGTTCTTATTTTATGCAATACAAATTTTATTATACATTACCTTAATAAAATTTTGAAATTTTTTAGATTTAAAACAATCAATTCTTCGGAAATACTATTACAGTACTGTACATAATATCATCATATTCGGATATGTTAGATGGTTTTTTTATTACATGTAGACGTAACACAAGTTTTTCAAGGTACTGTAAACACCAAATCAGGGCACAATTGAGTTTACTCTAATACAGTAGTGATAAACACTGCCGATCCGATTTTTCGATACTGTACAGAAATTTCGTGTAGCACAAACTTTAAGTTTTATCGATCATTACATTCAAGACATTATGTTAACCTAGTATATTTAACCGCAAAGTATTGAGAATGAGGAATTAAATAAACCATATTAACATAGCTTATAATTATGATAAGTCAATGACACTGTTTTTGTCTTGTGAACTCACGCATTAAAAAAAGACCACTGCTTGATGAATTATCAATCTATTTTATTTTATTATTATTTTTTTTAATAATTACAATTTTGATAAAGTCCGATATTCGATTATGCAATCTGAAAATCCAGAAGGATTTTACAGAAATATGATTCCTATTGTAAATTAGTTTCTGCAGAACTTGCATTCCTATTTTGAGGCTTTGGCTGAGATAGTACTCCCATTGTAATTAAAAAGCAATACGAATCGACAAAATCAGAGATTAAAGAATTTATATACAATTCTTCGATTAAGAGCGATCAATAGTAAACATGCAAGCAAATCCTGATGAGCGTTCTAGTGAAGGTACTGTTAACTTTGCAAATGTTGTTTTATTATCATTGAATTCGAAATGAAATCATAAAAGTTATACCGAATTCTTTTTAAATGAATGTTTGAATGCTATTAAATTAAAGAAATTCTTATAAAAGTTTTAGAGACGGCATCATTAACTTTGCCATGTTTATAATTTATCATCTCCAACTTAAATGAACAATTGAACATATTAGTTCTGTAAATGCTTTTTTTTTCAACTTGTAATAATCGCTGAATTATTTTTTATCAACTATAGTTTCCTCAACAATTCGACAACGTCGACCCATTTTAAATGACACGACATATGAAACAAAATTAATTGATAAGGATGATAAAGCACCTAAAAAGTTACTTTCACGAATATTTGGAATATTATTTATATGTTTAGTTACTTTACTAATGATTTTTATGAGTGTAAGAACGAATTTATTGAATTAAATATTATTTTATTTCAAAAATAAATTTATCTTAAATTTGATATTATTTATTAGATGCGATATGGACAAGAAATTTCTCAAAGTAAAACTTTTATTTTTCAAAATATCGTAAATTTAGCAGATTCTGGATCAGAAAAACTATCATCGCTTGTAATTCCAGGTATATATCTGTTCAATTAATACATGCCGATTGTATAATTTACTTAATCAGTGTCTTTTAAACCTTTTTAGAAACTAGTGAAATGAGTGGTTATCGTGTCATTATTCGAGACCTTGGTGTGACAATGGAAAAAAGTGATATTATAGTTAAAAATGGGAAGAAAATTTCCGAAGTACTCTTCGGATTAGATAAAGAAATACAAGTTGCAGGTGATGAGCTCGATGAATTTCGGCATCAAGCAAAAAACTTTTTCTTTTCACTTGCAAGTGAAATGAAGGCAATCACGCTAGAAATTGAAAATTCGCAGTGGTCAGAATACGGGGTTTTAAAATTTTTTATTAAATCAAATAGCCACTTGTTATCAAATAATGCAGCGAAATTTATATATAAACGACTCGAAGTATTAGAAAAACAGATACCTGGATTTCAAGAACAACTTAAGCGAGTTCTTTCCACGATATATTCAGTCCATAATAGTGCAGATAATACACATGGATATCTGATTGATGGAGAACGTGAGGCCGAACGAGCTTTAAAAAAACATTGGTT